GCACACGCACACACACACACACACACACACACACACACCTGCACACACACACACACACACACACACACACACACACACACGATATGCACACACTCTGTTAGTAGTTCAGTGTTGAAGCAATGGGGTAAAAATGTCACTTCCATAGTGCCTTATCAGATCCAGAGGATTGAAAAGTGCTTTTACACTACATTCACATGCTGATGGTGGTGAGCTGCTGGGTTGTAGCCACAGCTGCCCTGGGTCTGACAGAGGTGAAGCTGCCATGCCTCAGGGCCCTCTGACCTCCACCAGCAGGCAAGGCAGGTGAAATGTCTTGTCCAAGGACACAATGACAGAGGCGGACGGAGCAGGAATCAAGCCGGCACCCACCCCACCAAGTGAGGGACGAACTCCTTCCACCGTCGCCCCATACAGGGGTGTAACGACGACCCACACATCTTAGTAATAAGATTCCAGTCCTTGTGACATGGTACATCATGATAACATGGTGTTGGAAAGAATCCAGTAGCGGTCTTCGGATGGAGTCCTGTCTCTGACCAACAACAGTCCTTAAGGATGTTTGAGAAATCATCTCAATGCCCTCACCAGAATCACCACCTTAAAGTGCTGGATTGGTTTGATTACCCAATCAAGTAGGGACAGAGATGAAGCTTTAGTAACTGAGGTTTGACCTGACTAGTGTCCAGTCCTCATCCTAAAGACCACAAATGCTCACCTCCAAATGGGCCAGTCAAAGGCCAGCAGCAGAGCGACAGGTAAGTGTGCCAGAGTGGATGTGCTGAATCTGGAGGTGTTTGGGATGGGGAAGGTTACCAAGTATAGTTGGACTCACCCCAACACAGCTTGAGCTCTGGATCCAAAGTCTTGGAGAGGGGATGGACCCTTTCTCACTGTGGAGTTGGCATCAGGCGGGTATGGAGGTCCTCTCATTCCTCTGGTGGAGAGCCTGGTGTTGGAGTTTACCCTGGTGAGCCAAAGGGAAGGTTCTGAGTCTTGTCTGATCTTATAAACTGAACAGCAGTCCAGAGTCTGTGGAAGGTGACCCCATAAAGGCAACAGGACATAACGATAGACCTGAAGCTTCATGCCTCAGACATTCAAGTGAAAAGATTTAAGAAACAAGAG